GAGAGGCTGGACATGTCCTGGCCATGTGTGCCAGCAGCTCAGAAGTCAGCCATGTCCTGGGCTGCATCAAAAGCAGTGTGGGCAGCAGGTGACAGAGGGGATTCTGCCCCTCCACTCAGCTCTCATGAGACCTCATGTGAAGTGCTTCATCCAGCTCTCAAGTCCTTGGTATAGGAAAGATGTGAACCTGTTGCAGTGGGTCCAGAGAAGAGCCACAAGAACAATCAGAGAGCTGGAGCACCTCAGCTATGAGGAAAGGCTGAGACAAATGGAATTGTTTAGCCCAGAGAAGAAAATGTGCCGAGGAGATGTTATTGCCACTTCTCAGTACTTGAAGGGAACTTGCAAGAAAGATAGGGACAGATTTTTTTAGTAGGGCCTGTAGTGATAGAAGAAGGGATTATAGTTTAAAACTAAAAGAAGGTTTATTCAGACTAGATATATGGAAGAAATTTTTTGCAGTGAGTGTAATGAAACCCTGGGTTGGCCAGAGTGGTAGTGGATACCCCATCCCTAGAAGTGTTCAAGGTCAGGTAGGACTGGGCTCTGGTTGAAGATGTCCCTACTTATGGCAGGGGAGTTGAACTATGTGATCCAACTAAAACCATTCTATGATTTTATTTCTTATGCAATGTAAATAAGGTCCAGATTATAACTGGCAATTAAGGCCCTTTAATTTCTGTAGAAACATAATTTCATGATCAGTTGTCTGAGAGAAATATTACATGTGAAGATGAGAGCAAAACAAGCAAATATTAAAAAGTTACTTCTACAGCTGAACAGGAAAGCATGTATCCTTTTCCTGAAGTAGACTCCTTTTCCTGTTATCCCTGAGAAACAGGAAGAGTGTTTAAAGATTTTTTTATTACCTTGGTAGTCTTTGAAGTAAATTGGATCTATATGATTTTCCCTCAGGGTTATGTGCAGTGTTTCATTGTAAATATTTTATAAAGGAAGCATCTGTGTCTCTCGTATCTATCAAAAATGGTTCTTTTTACTAATAGCATCAGTTAAAATGGGAAAATTGACTAGAATTCTTCTCCTTTCTATAGGTGACAAGATAGAAAATAAACAAAGTGAGCTTGTTAGGAAGGAGAACCAACAATCATAATATGCCAGGTTGACACTGTTATGGAATCAAATTGCAGGGGCGAAAGAGGACTACCTTCTGCATTGCCCTATTTCACTATAAGGTAACGTGCTTTTGTCATACAACACTCAAAGATAAGTACTGAAGAGTTCATTAAATGCTCATTACGTCCAAGCATCTTGTCTTGTAACCTGGGAGAGAGAGAGAGAGTAAAAAAAGAAATATTAAATAACTTTGTTCCTACTCTGGATGCTGTGCTAGGTATACAAGGGAGGGCACTAGCACACAGCATTAGTTTTTCTTTGGAAATAATTAATGGTTGATTGTGGTATTTCCATAGCTGTGATCCATTACTCTGGAGAACTGTCTGTCAAATTCAGAAAATACACCATATCTTGGAGAGCGTTTACAGGTCTCAGTAGAACCCAGATGTAAGAGCATCTCATATAATTATATTAGGAAGGATAGAAACACCCATTTTTCATCAGCTAAAACACAGTGGTCCATAAGAAAGTGCAGATTGTAGTGAACTAGAGGAAGTATCCTTTGTACTTCTGGACTTTGTCTGGAGCCATATTCTTTCTGCCAGAAATCAGGTTCAAGGAAGAATAGACTGTGGTGGAAGAATCATTTGGTGTTGGAAATGATTACTTGCTTCAGATGATCCATCTTTTGTGTTTGCAAGCATGATGTAACTGAGTAAAAAGCAAACAAGCGAGGTCAAAAAACAGATTTGTTCTAGCATACATTAGAGAAAAGTATAAAATTCTGATGAATAAAAGTAGCAAACAACCAGCTAACTAAATTATTTTACATACAGTTTGTTAATGATACCACTGTCTTAATAAAATACCAAATAAAATTTGTAAAGACAAAGGAACACCCTAGAACACTTGGAAACACTGGAAGATAGTTGTAGTAAATGGTTACCATTTCTTTTAGTAATACAAAACTATAAAATTGAACCAGACATGAGCACAATAAATATGTCTTGTCTTGTTGAAGGTAATGTTATACTCTCTCATGGGGCAAACAGACAAAAACATGGAAGGCAAGAGAAGGGGCGACTAGAAGGTGAAGGTTAAAAAAAACCCCACGAAGCAAGTTCCTTTTAGATTACTAGGTATTCTTTGTTTGCATTCAAACACAGCATTCTTGGAAGTCCAGCTAGTCCTATCTGCATTGTTTAGCAGTCCAATTGTTTTAATTATTTCAATAAGTGGGGGAGGGAGAGGAAATAGTTTTTATTTCACCTACCAGCCTCCAAAAGTGTACATTAGTAACTGCTGAGGAGACTTGATCTTCAAATCCTGCTGTGAGTTTTTACTGGCTTTCCCCCCTGTCCCCTGCCCCACATATATTTATGGAAAGGAGAGGTGATAGGGGGCATACACAGACCATGGACACAGTTCTCTTCTGAATCTATTAGGTGACACAGCTGCTTTAGAAAAGGAGAAGAGGACTCCAGGCATGAGTACAAACCCTCTGGAAAATCCACACTCGCCAGGGCAAATTGATACAGCTCTGGTGTTGTGGGACAGGTTTATGAAAGCAAACCTGAAGTCTTTAAGTGAAAGACTTTTTCTAACAATTTTTTGGTTTGTCATGGGGTTGGTGCAGTTTTGGTGGTTTGCATTTTTTTCCCTAAGTAACTGGCCTATAAGCATGTATGTTGAGTTCTTGTACCTCAGTTAAAAAGGAAGTACCTTCTAAAAGCATTTTGTCAGGGTCCTATCCTAATGACACTGACCAGCCCACCTGCCACCCCATTGTGGGCTCAGTAGTCCATTTAAGCTCTGTTCTGGGCCCTCAGCCTCTGCCTGAGCTCTGCCCTGGCAGGCTCAGACCTAACAGACTTTGTAGTCCAGGCCATTACTGCAGGTAGCCTAAGCTGTGGACCAGTGATTTCTCCTTGGTACCCTGCAGTCGCTGGACTTGTCGTGCTCTGCACTTTTCCCTACTTTCATCTTTAAACCTGTCTCATCCCACAGACTTGCTGGGTGCTCCAAGATGTTAGGGGGAGAGGGAGTTGGCCCTGGCCATGGCCAACCCTGCTTGCTTTGTCACAGTACTGAGGCATTGGGTCCTGGTTGCTGCAGCCTCTACCCCACTAGCTGTCTTCTTCCCCTCAAGTCCTAATAAGAGAGAGATTTTCTCTCTAAATAGTTCATAAAGCAGACAAATGCCTTTTGCAAGACTAACAAACAAATCTATTAATGCTATAGATGACTGTTAATTTTTCTGATACATTATTGCATGTATGTTGACATTACATGGCTATCTCAAATCGTACTGCAAGCTCAAAAGTGAAACCTTGTTTATAAGGAGAGAAAGTGGACCACTACCTGTATTGTGGGAAGAGGCTATAATTTAAAGATTACATTAAAATTATTTCCACACAAGTTTGTGTTTGGCAGAAATTTAGGGCAGCAGCCCTTTTACATACTGCACAAGAGTAAATGAGTAAATGCATTTGACTTGTGAACTGAATCAATGTGTCTACGAAAGACACTTTCAAATTGGAAAAAACTATTTTGTCCATATAGGGTGGTTGAGGCCCAAGTCTACTATTTTCTACAGGTATTTGCACAAGGTTGGGAAGCACCTAATAGCACTGTTTACATGTCCTTGCAGGAAACTGGTGTGACATACCTCTTATCAAGGATACATCCCTTTGGAGATACACAGCTTTGGCTCTGATAGAGAACTGTGTTGGGTATGCTACAATTTTAAATGCAATAATGAAATTTAAAGCATTTCATTGTAATAAGCATTTTGTTCCTGTGTTCTCCCCAGAAATAAAGACACTCTATGTGTAAGATCTCTATAGCTGGAACAAAGGTCTGTAACTTACGGCCTTTGGCACTAGAAAAGAAAATCCCACCACAGAACTCCTACGAATGCCAATCTTGTATTTTATTGTAGCAATGATTCTGCTATCACGTCTATCTCTAAAAGTAGACAGGACTCCAGTAAGCTATTGGACTTTTATCATTATTATCATTTTTATCAATATTATAATTAATTATCAATTTCCCTGTACTTTTTTTTTTGTTTTTGTTTTGGTTTTGTTTTTTTTTTTTGTTTACTTGCATTTTGAACATATAATGGTTAGTTTGTGCTCCTCCATTTTACACAAGTTAATTTGACAGGCGCCGGGGGTCGAATTCAGAGACCTCCTCGAGAAGAGTGCACCACTGCCGAGGTCCTTCTTTTGCACTGTGCCGTCTATGCCGTTCATTTCCAGGATGTGGTGTGTGGGAGCGTTCCCCCCGGGGCACAGCGTGCGGACCTGGGTAATGAGCGCTCTGGAGCCCGGCGTCTCGCTCTGCGGCGGGATGGGCAGGCTCTGCTCCCCGGACCGCACCCCCGGCACGGACCGGCGGCAGCGGCGTCCCGGGGCCCCGCGCTGCCCCGTTCGCGGCACCAGTGCCTCGGGGTACCTGGGGAAGTGGCGGGAGAGGCCGCGGCCCGCCCCTGGGGCCCCTCCGTCCGGGGGTCCCTCCGCCGCCTCCCCTGAAGCCGCGCTCCGGCGGGGCCGCTCCTGACCGTCGGTGCCGCTGCCGTGCGCAGCAAGCCGCGCGGAGGGGCCGTGAAGCGACGAGCGGCCGCCTCAAGCGGGAGCGGCCCCAGGCGGACCACGCCAGGTGGCGGCTCTACCTGGGGTACGGGCGGGGCGAGGGCCGCGGAGTCTCCGCAGCCACGGCCGCCGCCGCCTTCCCAGGGGGGAGGCGAGGGGACGGAGCTCCCCCGCCAGCCCCGGGCCGTAGAGGCGTGTTGCGGTTGCTGCTGTTGGTACCGCAGAGGGAGCCAGGTACGAGACGCGAGGGCTCCGGGAGCGCCGACCCAGCTTTTGCTCGAGGCGGTGCTCGCTCGGGACCCCGCCGGCGGCGGCTCTGCCCACCGCGGCGCGGAGAGGGCGGTCCCGCGGGACAGGAAGCCGGGCGCGCTGCCGGCTGTGTGCGAGCGTGGAAAACCCGCCCGGAGCGGGCTGGAGGTCGGGCAGCGGCACCTGCTCGGGGTCCGGTGACTGGCAGCGCTCGCAGGAGGGGCGCTTCAGATTCGGGATTTTATTTCCATTCAAGAAATAGGAGGATGGGATGGTGATCGCCTGTAGCATTGTTTTTCAGTAGTGGGGTTAACCGCTTAACGGTAAGTTAAAGGTACCTATTAATTGTCCAAATCGGGTTTTCTGAGTCTCTGTCTGAATTCTTACTAAGGGTGGAGGTTAACTTTAGATTTGAAGAATGCAAAACTCCTCCAAAGTTGTGGGTTAATCCGGGCAGGCAGCTCAGTCCTCACCCTTCCGCAGGCAGCTCAGTCCTCACCCTTCCTCTTGCAGTGGGGCGGGGATAGAATCAGAAAGGCAAACGTGGGAAATCCTATGGGTTTTCCCTGAGATAAAGACAGTTTAAAAGGTAAAGCAGAGCAGCATGCAAAACAGAATGTGTAATCTATCCATGATGTCCCCTTAACAGGCATGTTTCTAGCCATTTCCAGGAAATGCAGGCCTTCGGAAATGCAAGACTTCATCAGGTTTAGCAGCGACTTGGGAAGCCATATGCTGTCATGTCGCGTGTTTCCTCCTTTCTCCTTCTTCCCCCAGCTTAGATGGTTGAGCATGGTATCATATGGTGTGGAATAGGCCTTTGGTTGGCTTGGTTCAGAAGTCCCAGCTGTGTTCCATGCAAACTTCTTGTGCCACCCAGCTCCTGGGACAGGAGCCGCAGGAGAAACAGAGATGGCCGTGACTCTGCGTAAGTACTGTTCAGTGATAGCTAAACATCAGTGTGCTTGAAGCACTTGCTTTGGTCACAAAACACAACACCCTGCTAGCTACTAGGAAGAAAATTAACTCGGTCCCAGCTAAAGTACAGTGTGAAAGAAAAAAAATTGAAATAAGTATTTTAAATGTCGTGCAGTGTTTGTTTTGCCCAATCTGTTTGATTTTCAAAGGACACAAAGTTTAAATGTTTACAATAGGAGGAGTTTGGCTTAGGGATGTACAGCAGATTATAAGGGAGAATTTTCTGAGTGTATACAGGAAGTGTGGGGTTTGTCAGTTCTTATTGCACAAAATAAATACAGCAACTGTATATTGGCAGTTGTATGACAACACTGTGTATTGTTCTGGCTTACTGTCTTTCTATTTAGAATAGACACTTTTAATTTTTTTAGAGCAGTATTTTATTAGTGGAAAAATACTGCCTTCAGTTTAATCCTTCAAACAATATGCTTCGGACTTTGGATCTTGCGAAAGAGGGAGGACACCTGATGTGTCAAAGAATCTTTCTGAAAAAAGTAAGCTATCAAAAGATTAACAAAAGGCAATTGAGATAAAGATGGTAAATTATCATTCATATTTGTTAATATTATCACTGTGTTAATAACACAGTGATCTATGGTTCTGCTTTTGACAAAAATCATAAACTAAAGGATAGAGAATAAATTTTTTCAAAAATAGTAAGTTTTGTAAGGCTGTTTTTCTAGTGGGGGTTTTTAGTTAGACCCTGGATAAAACAGGTTGTTTATTGTTCTTATATTGCTGAACCTAATACTTCATATTAGCAAGTCAAATTCTGCAGTCACCTCTGGTCACTTGCCCTCTATCCTTGCCCTAGATTGGGAGATAAAGTAATAAGATGAGAGTTATGAAAAACTTAATGCAATGTAGACATTGTCAAGATACTGAAATGAGCAGCATAAATAGTTGTCAGCCATCTCCATGCAAACAAAACAAATTACAAAGGAAGGCTACAATGCATAGAGCATGTGAGGGAGATTAATTATTACTCAGAAATGACTCTTGAACTAAATTAGCAATTGGGATCAGCTTTTAATAAGGACAGTGCTAGTTGTGGAGGGTTTTAGAAAGATGTTGGAAAAGAAGGTCAGAAAATAGAAGTTGGCCAGCAAAGGTAAAAACAGCATCCAATTTGAAAGCGATACAAAAAAAATTCAATTTCAAAATTCTAAAAAGACAAGCTGTTGGAAGAACCTGTAATGGGAGATTGATAAATGTGTTGTGAGTGTAGTGGAACAGTGTGGCTAAAGTATGAGTGTTTCTTTGGTTTAGGATGGGGAAAAAAAGATGATTTAAATATATAAAAGTTTGTAAGTGTATTCTTGATCCCATGCAAGGTTTTAGAGTAAATTTTTGCAGGACTGTGACCAAGGAAATAAGGAAAAACAGAATTAATTAGAGCAGTGAAATCTTTCACAATCTAGTGAAAGATATCTCACCTACACCAAGGGGATTGGGACTAGATATTTTAAAGTCCTTTCCAACCCAGGCCATTCCATGATTCTAACCATGACAAGAGCTCTTTCTTATGACCTTGCTGCAGAAGAAAACTGTTGTGTAACTGCACTTGCCTGACTGACCAGGCAGATGTATCAATTGTAGGCTGATGACAAGCTCAGATGTGTCTGTGCATTATGTTGCATCTCCAAAAAATGTAATCCTAGCATACATTAATAAAGAAAATTTCCAACAAAAATCCAACATACAAATGGATAAGGAACAGACATTCTAGTCTCCCGTAGTAGAGAGTAATGGAAACTGGGCCAACTGCAGAGAAACAATTGGTGAAGGAAGACTGTTCTTATGACATGGTTTTACCTTTCATTCAACTATTTTGTTGAATGAAAAGGTAATGAACATGAAGATGAGAAGGTGATACTACTGCAGTCTGTCAGGATGGTGGGGAGGAAGAAAGCCTGTTGTATTCCTAAGTGGAATACTGCAAAGTATCCATTAATACCATTAGCTAAATTTAGTATTAAAGCAAATCTGCATAATTTCTGTCATGTTTACTTGCATATTAATTGGAATTAAAAAATGCAAAATCGAAATGAATTGTAAAAGAATGCTACTATATTTCTACTATAAAAAAAGAGCATTTAAAAATGCTGAAAGCATACTTTTAAAGTTAAAACTTGCCATTTTACCCTTTCTATAGTGAGGAAATATAAATGGAGTGTTCTTAATTACACAGACTTCATGTGTTTTATGACTGCATATTTGTTCTGTTTATTTCAGGAGAGCAAAATTAATGAGTTGTGTTGAGGAACCAATGAATTTCACTCATCAAATAACTTTGTACTTTTTTTCTTTAAGATTCAGTGTTCTGATGTGTCTTTGAGCTCTTGATTTTGCTCTTTCTCTTAGTTTCTGGAACTCACTGTTATTTCAGCACTCTTACAGTTCCTAATCAGAATTTGTATATACATGCTCTAACTAGGCCTTATAGCATGTTAGGAAAAAACTGTTTGTCCAAGAAATGCAGATATATATATATATACACACACTATATATATATATATATATATATATATATATATATATATATATATATAGTGTATTTTTCTGGTTCTTTTTAAGTATGGGTGCAAACTGGGTTTATATCAACATGCAAGATTAATTTTCAGAAGAACACTTAAGTAGCCTTAAAAAAATCCCTGAAAAATGTTTGATTATCTTCAACAACTCCATACTCATTTGTAATTTAAATTAAGTTCTTACAACACAACTGTGTACTTTGCTCAAGAGAAGGAAAACTTGTTTTTCTGGTAGGTGTGGCTGCTGCTATGTGAAATAAAATGTACCAGGAAGTATCTTAGGTATTGTACCAGTTTTTCTCCTCACAGTATTGTTCTGTATTGAACAATTATTGCAATTTACCTTAAAAGTATTTAAGTTTTTATCTGTTTAAAATAAACAATTGGTAGTTTATTTTAGCAAAATAACTTAGCAAAAAATGAATGGAGGACTGAACAGAACCTCACTCTGCTATCTACTTTAAAAGGTACTTTTTCCTTTCCAGTGTTTGCTGTTCAAAATGCAATTGAAAAGATAGATCTTTTTCTTGTTAGTTTTTTGTTGCTAGAAAAAGCAGAAGAAAGAACAGGTAATAAATTAATTTTGTTATTTACTGTTGATGTAGTAATTAAAAAATAGTTATTCTGTAAGATAGATCAATATTTTAAGTCATAAATAGATAAAACTGAGGGGAAGAATGTTCAATGTGACCTTCTCTGTGTAAGAATGCTAAAATATATAACATCCTTGGAATAAGAATGCTTGGGCGAAACCTCTACTTTAGAATGTATCATAAAAAGTCTTAAAAAGTTTGAGTTGATTCAGTCACCAATCTCCAGCTGGAAGTCCTATGGCAATAGCAGACTCTTGTTATTTATTTGCTGTTCTGCTCTCAGTTTTAAGGACTTAGGGGGATACTATCTCCATTTCAGAGATAGAAGAGTCAGTGCTTTCTGCTGCTTCTTTTCTGCTTTGTGCCTAGTGTGATGTGGTGAGATTTTCGGTGTCCCTATGACTATTCTCATCTGAAAAGCAATTTCTTGATAGTTAGCAAGGCTGCTGTAAGTCACATCAGCCTTGGCATATGTGACATTTTCAGGAGTGTGTTGTGACTGTGGTTCTCCCTAGTTCACTTTTTCATGAAATGGCAATTGTGAAAATATGGTACATTATTTTGAGGGCACAGGTTATTATTTTTTGCCTGCTAGAAACATTTTCGTCATCTTATGCAATAGCATCAGTTCATTCCATCCTGGCATTTTACTCCACACTGCCTGCTGGCAGTTGGGGAAATTCTCTTCTACAAATGCAGTTTTCTGATATGACGTGAATTTAATTAATCTGGGACACTTTTTTTTCCAAGAATCTCTGTGATACAAGCAGGCCTTTGAGGAGACTTGCTGTCACTTTTCTGTTTATGGATCATATCTGAATGCCTAAAGATGAATTTGTAGAGGAACCTTTTATCTAGGCTCCACTTGCAGAAATTAGTGCTTGAGAGTGCCATAACTCCCACTCAGGCATTAACACTTGCTAGCACAAATGGTGCTGAAGACTTCAGTCATCCAGTCTCTCAGGACTGCCTACCTGTTCCTGCATCAGCAAGAGTTTTAAGCCCTAACCCCCAGATCATGCCAGGAGCTGAGCCAGCATTGATCCAGTGTGAAGAGGCCCAGATCTCTAGTAAGCATTAATATGAGATGACCTTTCCTGCAACTCCTGTCTCTTACAGGGTTACGTAGGGTAGAGTGGCAAAGTGAGTTTTATACCTGCATAGATTTCATCTGGCTTTGCTGGATTGTATGAATTGACTTTCCTCTGTGTGTATGGTCTCATCTGTGGTGATCTGCAACTTAGGGAATTCATAAATTAGTGATTATATCTGGACCATCGTGTTTAATCTGCAATTAGCATATTTATAATGAACTTGATTAATTCTATATACAGTTTATTTATCTGTCTCTAGCTTGTCTGTGAGAAGTCTAGTTGAGTTTGGTTTTTTTAAGCATAATTTACATACACACTGTGTTAGGCAGAAAAAAAAGAAAAGTTTTGCTTTGCTTTAAGAATTACTGCCTAGTTATTAAATTGGATATTCTAAAATTTGGATTATTGAAAAAAAATACTTCTTGTATTGCTCTATATAGACCTCTGTTATATTCTTCTACAGAACCCTCCATGTAGAGAAACTGCTCCACACATCTGACAAATAGAGGCATTCAGAGTGTCACATATCATACATATATTAAATGCGTGTTCTGTGACTGTTTTTTCATAAAAGCACAGTAGCTGGGTCTCTGAGTAAGTCAGTGCACCATGATAGAGACTTACCCCCATCTTGTTTGTGAAATTCTTTAGCAATGATCATGGGTCAATATTCTCATACTGCCTTTTTTTTTTTTTCCTGCAGATAAGGCAGCATCAAGTGCAAGGACAAAGAAATTTGCATGGACATTTAGATATGTACAAAATGTTGTGTGCTGGGAAAAAATCTTACTTTGCTGCTGTTGTGTGCATTATGACTGTAACTTTAATGCTTGTGGTTTCTTATCTGAGATTACAGAGACTTTCTCATCAGCCAAAAGTAATTCAAGAAAGTAGAAGATGTAGAGGGAAAATTGCCCTTAGCACAATAACAGCATTGGAAGGTAACAAAACTTTTATTATATCCCCATACTTTGATGACAGAGAAAACAAAATCACTCGTCTGATTGGGATTGTTCACCATAAAGATGTAAAACAACTGTTCTGCTGGTTCTGCTGTCAAGCCAATGGAAAGATATATGTATCAAAAGCAGAAATAGATGTTCACTCGGATAGATTTGGATTCCCTTATGGTGCAGCAGATATAATTTGTTTGGAACCTGAAAACTGTGATCCAACACATGTATCAATTCATCAGTCTCCATATGGAAATATTGACCAGCTGCCGAGGTTTGAAATTAAAAATCGCAGGCCTGAGACCTTTTCTGTTGACTTCACCGTGTGCATTTCTGCCATGTTTGGAAACTACAACAATGTCTTGCAGTTTGTACAGAGTATGGAAATGTATAAGATTCTTGGAGTACAGAAAGTGGTGATCTATAAGAACAACTGCAGCCATCTGATGGAGAAAGTCTTGAAATTTTATATAGAAGAAGGAACTGTTGAGGTAATTCCCTGGCCAATAGACTCACACCTCAGGGTTTCTTCTAAATGGCGCTTCATGGAAGACGGGACACACATTGGCTACTATGGACAAATCACAGCTCTAAATGACTGTATATACCGCAACATGGAAAGGACCAAGTTTGTGGTCCTTAATGACGCTGATGAAATAATTCTTCCCCTTAAACACCCAGACTGGAAAACAATGATGAACAGTCTTCAGGAGCAAAACCCAGGGACTAGTGTTTTCCTTTTTGAGAACCATATCTTCCCAGAAACTGTATTTTCTCCCATGTTCAACATTTCATCTTGGAATACTGTGCCAGGTGTTAACATATTGCAGCATGTGTACAGAGAGCCTGACAGGAAACATGTAATCAATCCCAGGAAAATGATAGTTGATCCACGAAAGGTGATTCAGACTTCAGTCCATTCTGTCCTACGTGCTTATGGGAAGAGCGTGAATGTTCCCATGGAAGTTGCCCTCATTTATCACTGTCGGAAGGCCCTTCAAGGAAACCTTCCCAGAGAATCTCTCATCAGGGATACAACACTGTGGAGATATAACTCATCATTAATCATGAATGTTAACAAGGTTCTATCTCAAACCATGCTGCAAACTCAAAATTGAAACCTTGGTTATAAGGAGTGAAAGTGGAGGACTACCTGTATTGTGGGAAGACAGAAGATATAATTTAAAGATCACATTCCATTGATTTCCACATGAAGTTTACATTTTTCTGCACTTATTTAGGGAATCTATAGCAAAGCCATGAATCATTTAATGATACCAAGGGTCAATGCAGATTGCAGTATCTTTTCTGGGAAATGTACAATTTGTTTTCAGGTAATAATAAAAATCAGTATTTTTCAATTGATTCAAATAATGCAAAACAGTTTTCAACCTATGTACAAAAAGTACAAATACAATCATTAGTATTAAAGGTAGCAATGCTTAATTCTCGCAGTTTGTATGTCACAGGGTACTAAATTTGTATACATCGATTTGAGTAAAAGGTAGACAAGTAATTGAGTACAATCTTCCTTTTAGTTGTAAAAAAATTACCCTGTTATGTTCTTGGAAATAATGTATGTTAAAGATGTGATGGATTGTAACACTAAGCACAGTAGAGTTTTGCTGATAAAAAATGTCTTGTTCAGCTGGGTTTTGGAAACATGTAAGTTTGAGAAGCGTGATTACACCTGTTCTGAATTACTGAAGTGGTAAGTGCTGAGTTGTGTTGAAAAGCTTTAATAGAGGCAAAGGATAGAGATTCATCTTAATGGAAGATACTTTGGTGAACCAAAAAGAACTTATTTCAAGGAGGAAAAAATAGATGGCCAAACAACTTTTATGAAATATAAATATTTTATATTTTGTTAGGTTTGTTATTTAATATTTTGTTAGTTTTTTTTTTTTTTTTCTGGCACCTTGAAGCCTCGTAAGAAAATGTTTTATGAAACTTAGACACAAGTTGGATTTTAGTCCTTTATGCGATGGGTAAGTTGAATTATATTGCTTCCTTGGTAGGTGTAAGGGTACAGAAGCTGCATTTTTTCCAACCTCTATATGCAAATAGTGGTAAGTAGTGACTTTTGCTGAAGGGCCAGATGGAAACCAAAGGAAACAAAAAACCATTTGTTCACCTCTGTTTCACAGTTCCAGTTCCACAATTTCAGTTTCTGTTTGATAAGCCCCCAGAACTACATGCATGGCATATGTCGTGGCAATATATTAGAACCTTCCTACTGAAGGCACACCTGAAAGCAGTGATAGCCTGACTGGTGTCTGGCAGACACAAGTGTGCGTGAGAGCAAGTGTGCTTTTTAAAATTTCTACATTAGTGTCAGACTTTCATTCCTTTATCTACTTGGTAGTGGCACATACCTGTGCCCTTAAAGAGCTCTGTCATTAGTTGATTAGTATCATTACCAATGTCCAAAGGGAATTTTTCCTTCACTTCACAGTGACTGCAGCATCTCCCAGTCTGTATCAACAAACTGGCAGCTATATTAGGATCTGAGATGCCTGCTGCTGTTAGTCATACACTCTTGTGTGGCAACAGGCCCATTTAGAATTTCAGTCTCATCGTTTGGAAGGGGCATCTGAAAGTCCAACTCCCTGCTTACAGCATGGTGTGCTCAGGGCTTTGTCTAGGAAGGCTGGGCAATCTGTTTGACTCTTAAACATTCTATGGAGAATTTCTCTTGTCACAAGAACCATTGACCATTGTCTTGCTGCAAGATGCTGAAATGAGTCTGACGCTGTTTTCTTTATAGCTTATACCTGGAGACAGTAGCAGTGTCTCCCCATCCCATGCCCACCACCTTCCCTTTTGCCACCATTCTTTCTGGATGGCTCGGCTTGGGTCTGTTTCTCAGCCATCTTGTGCTCCACCTCTCTATGGACTCTGTATAATCAAGGTCACTAGTAAAAATAGTTAACCGAGTTTTCTCAATTTGCTGATTTGGAAACAAAGCACGCCTCTATTTAATCTTTCAAAGTTAATGCAGTGCTGTATAGGTGGTTCTTTCAGAAGCGCACATCATAATGATACTGTTATGTTACTCCCACATGAAGAATGATGAGAACTGGGTTTCAAGACAAGTTATTGAAGTTATTGAAAACATTCTTTTTCACTGAAGCTTTCTTTACTTAGGAGTGAGACAAAATCTCACTTTTGTGAGCTCATCATTTATGCCCCACACAGTGCAGTTTGAATTGAGGGTTGTGAATTTGGCTTCCAGTTGATAAGATGCTTGAGTATAGACAACATTTTTCAAAGGAAATCAGTGTGAGTAAAGGTGGAAAAACTGAATGCTTAAGAGTCTGGCCTTGTACTTAAGAGACTGCTCCACTGTGACTTTAAGAAACTCCTACAGCATCACTCAAATACTGATTCTTGCATATGAAAACTCCCTTTCATTGGTGTAATTCATACCACATACATTTGGAATCTTGGCCTTCATTCAGTATTAAGTATGAAATCAGGTCTCCTTGAATAGTGGGAAGAAAAAAATCACTAGTAATGCTAGACAGTTTTGTCTTTTCAAGAGCATGAGCCAATTTTCATGAAAACTCAGGTTTTCAAGTTGTGTAAAAACAAATGACATTAAGGCAGGAGGGAGGGAGGGAGGAAGGAAGACAGGAAGGAAGGTCAACCTAAAGCATTTCTAAAGCATGTGATGTCGATACAGCTTTTAAGTACATGCCAAATAGCACAAAAATAGGTGGACAAGTATTTGTTAAAGGACTCGCTTGATTCTTCTGTTTCAAAGGCTAAGTATTTAAAGCTATCATATGGAAAAACATTTTGAAGAGAAAGATCCTGAAGAGAGAGAAGGTTTGCTGTTTTCTCATTTTTGTTAAGCAGCCATGCACTGCAACAAGTATTTGCTGTTAGACGTACAAAAGCCTATGGTTCTAAAAAAGCAGCTTCACCTTCTGTTTCAACAAAAAAAAAAGGTCAGTCAGGTCAAGCACAACTTGATTTCAGACTTGGTAGCAGATTTGAATGGTTTAAACATTACAAGCTATACTTCGGAGCCCAAATAGGTATATTTAAACATGAATATAGACAAAAATTTGTGGTGAATACTGTTAGCATGCTGCATTGCATTATTTCCAAAACAACCCATTCCCAAATGCCCAAATTAAAGTAAATGATTGTGCACTGCATGGTGATACCATTGGATGTACAACTTTGGTTCATGCAAAGTCTCGTTTTATGGACACACATAAATTCCATAAATTCCTGAAGATTCAGTATGTGAGAGCTTTCAGCCATGTTCTTTCCATAACACCAAATGGATACTATGGTCTGGCATACTGGTGGCAAAAACCAAGCCTGTATCATTTTGGCCATTTAGTCCATTTAACCAAGACATTTCACCGGCCAAGAAGCTTGAACCTCTCTTTGACTTTCTATATTCTGGTAAAGGCCAGCGGCTTATCAGTTTTTCTGTCCTCAAGTCCATTATGTACAGGTATCTGTTGTCAAACAGTAGAGCAAATATCTCTCCAAAGCCCAGCAACGACACATTTGAGAAGTCTGGAGGTTTGATAACCCTAGAAGATAAGAAAACAGTGTTAGAATCTCCCTTACAATGTTGTCATGAGCTTGAATTACTAAACCAAATCCTGTGAGTCTACAGAAAATGTGTCTAATCATTCTGAAGTAATTTAGAAAGAACTGGATGCAAATCTTTCAAGTTAAGCAACTGAACCCTTAGCTACAGTCAGGCCTGTGGTTTCACTTCTGACTTTATGCATTCAGGACAGACCCATCTGAACATAAATGAAGGCTAAGGTTTGAAAGGGATGATTCTGCAGAGCACACGAAAAAAAAAAGCCATTTCCACATACAAACGAAAGAGCAAATGTACTTGTGTTTTACAGTAAATTTCCATATGGATCTCATGCCTCAATATCTTTACACTAAGAGGTAGAAGCTGTTATTATTCTTTTGATCAGCCCTCTAAAAGGCAGAAGTAAAACATAGACGTGCCTTCTTGTGATAAGCAGATTAGTCCAAGACTGGTCCTTAGAATGCTGTTTTACTGATGTTTTATGTTAAATTAACCATGGGGAGAAATAAAAGTATTTTTATTTCCCCAACACCTTTATGATGTCTTCCCTTAATAAATAAAACTTGGAACAGAAACTGAAGAGTTCAGTCTTCCACAACTGCCTGCATGTTTGATAACAGCATTACATACAGCAGAGAACTGAGGCAGAAAAATGGGTGGGGATGAAAATATGCTCTCAGCAGTGAGACCATCTTTCTGTTTTGAAAGATGGGAGAGTAAACTAAGAGGTGAAATTACTCAGTTATTCTTACTGATAAGAAGCACTTGTGGAGGTCTTTCAAATATCCACAGTTATTCAGGCTATTTGAATTAAGGAGTCTGCTAGCAGTTCTAAAATGCATTTTTTTCTTTAATACGTTACTTTCTTTGATGCCACCATTTCCAACTCATACAGCCGGATTCTTTATGTGGAAATGGAATGCCAACATGTTCGCTCCCTTAATTGCAGTCTGATAGATTACACTGTCATTCCACAACATTAGAAAGAGTGACAGATCAGTAGTGCTATAAGGAAAAAGAGTCTCTTTAAAAATTTCTTGTCCCATCAAAGGACCCCCAGAAATTCCTGCTTGGCTGTCTGTATAGCAGTATCCATGGTTAACATTAGCTCTGTGTCACTACATTTTCACATTCACAACTACAGCACTGTAGTCTGGTTTAAGTCTATACTGAAACACTTCCGCTTACAGAATGAAAATATGGAAGAGAACTAGCATGTGGCCAGAAACCAAAATGGCAATGAAACTATTCATATTATCAGATGACAAAATTAGAATTAAACCTTGATATGTGTAAAGCAAGATGTTTACAGGATTTTATTCAAGATTATTTTGGTCTACATCTATGGTAAGTTATTGAAACTGGTAAACTACTTCTTATTTATTGAAGACTGAATCCTAAACTGAACAGTTTACCTGAGAATATCATAGCTGGCAAAGTCCCACTGGTACAATCCTAGTGCTGAACTGCACACTATGTATTTACCATCAAAGTGCAGCCTGGGCTGTAGGGAGATGCTGCGGTCTTCTGAAACAGACAGTGTTCTTAAGCATTTGCAGTTTATTTCCCTTCCAATAGGCCAAATCTACAATTAAAACACAGTTTAAGACCATAAAAAATTCACATTATAACCCATAAAAATTCACATTATAAACTGTTACATAAATAGAGCAAGCCTCACAGTCTCTTTATAAGCATCAGGTAAATGTGTGCATGAGGTTTTTTCAGAAGTGTTTATCTTTTTCATGGAGGAACATGAATTCTTCAAGTGGCTTGTCTTACAATATTGGTGCAGCACATGTTGTTTCTAGCCTAAAAAAAGCCCAGTGAAAATGGGTACTTTAAAGAAAAGAAAAAAAAATCAGCCATCCAACTGGGACAGAAGTTGAACAGTGTTTCAGTTATGAAGCACTTCTGTAGCCATAAACTTAGAGCACTCTCCAACCCCAAAGTCCCCAACTGTAACAGTATTTGTATTTACCTGCTTCACTGTCATGACCTAGAAGCACTGATTCTTTGCATTACCATTGTTGTAGAGCTATCATTTAAAACTAAATGCTAAGGCGAGCATTGAAAAATTAGCTTCCAAAGAGTTTCATGTTCTGCACATAGCCTCTAAAGTGGGAAATGTGGAGAAAAACTAAATCCTCCTATTGTTTGTAAACTTCAGCAAATTACTCAAGCTTTTTGTTTCCCCATGTACCAAAATAATATATGTATGATATATGGTACATACCTTGATTTCATACTTATCTGCACTTAGGAGAATATAATCCCCAGGACTATGCATAAGAGATTTGACTTTGCATTTCTGCAAAACAACCTGTAATTAAAGGACAGTAATGATTTATGTTGATGCTGTTAAATAAACAAATTTTCGTTTGCATTTTTCATTTCACTGACCACTTGCATAGTGTACCCATGAATAAAGGCAGTACAAATACTTTTTAGCAACTAAAGGAAAACTACAGTTTACACTCCTCTTGTTCCTACTAGTGACAATTTACAGTTCTAATAAGCAAACATACATACTTCACCTGTACACTCACACCCCTCACCTTTCAAGTTCTGAAATAACCAGAGGAAAAATACTGTTTAATGATCAGATTTTTGTTATCAAGCTCATTAGATTTTTTTATGTAACTTTTAAAGCTGTCTTCTTTCCGAACCAGTTTTTATTCAGTCTTTGAATCAAAACACTGCTTCCTAGTATTAGCCCAGCTGCTTTGGAATTGAAATGTCTTCAATGGTCTGAAAGGTTTAATTACAGCTTATATTTTTTTCTGTTGAAATGTTATTTTCAAGTATTTCCAGCTGTTCTTCAGATTCTAAACCTACCTGCAGAATTAGGATTAGGATATAAAAATTTGGAACATGTTACAAACTTAGTGCAAGTAAGAGTGTGAGATTAATTATAAATCAATATTCTCACCTTAGTGACCCATTCTGTGTGTCCAGTAAGGGTATTCAGGCACGTTCCTGTTGATAAGGCCCACACTTTCACAGTGAAGTCTGCAGAGCCACTGACCAGAATATCAAGTTCATCATTGTAATCCACACTAAAAACTTCAAGCAAAGAAGGAACTAAATAAGAAATAACAATCTCTACATGTGCATTTTCCGTGAGGCACTAACAGCATCTATATGAATTTATCAGCTTCTAAATTCATATGCTACTATAACTTTAATTGTTCTTGAACTGTATAAATGAATTGTTGCTCTGGATGCCTATGTTTACATTGTGAAATTACTGGGGTTTTTTTCCCAAATTAAGAGCATTTATATCAGTGGTGGCAAAGTGTAACTTAAGCTAGTTCCTCTTTCCAGAGTTTTAGTAAGAATTCCACAGGATTAATATATTTTATAAATACAAGGGAAAAAAACTACAGCTAAGGTGAGGATATTTCTAAGTACACGACAGAGAATTTAATTACGAGGGCAATGCAAATATGTTTTCCCAGGTCCTATTCTGCTCTTTGCTTTAAGCTCATGTCCAGTGTGGGAACAGAAAGAATGGCCATGGTTACGTATGCTCTGCTACCTAAGATGTGCACCTCTTTGAAGCTACTAAATAACCATGGCATTTATTGTTACTTCCATGCAATTGCAAAATGCTACATGGCTAAGCTTTGGCATATTCAAGGATAAGTGTGTATCTGTTCTGGTCCTTTCCCTGTCCAGGGGAACTGAAGGGACTCAGGTGACAGAGAACAGAGGCTGAACAAACTGAAAAAGCTAGTATGCAAAAAAGCTAACTTAAAGTTTATTTTGTTTGATGATGATGTATGTTACTTCACTGGTGAAATTAAAATTTTAAAACTTCAACATACCTGCACCAGTATGTCCTCTGAAATGCTGTGTCTTTGCCCCAGAGCTCCATTCCCAACAGGCTACTGTGTTATCGAAAGATCCTGTTACAAGCTTTTGTTCATCAAACTTCACTGCAGCACAAGTGTGTGTCTGGATACCATAAATGCACTGACCCGTGCTTACATCCCACAGTTTTGCAGACAAGTCATCTGATCCTAGAATATAAAACAACAGGATAAATGTGAGATTGGTAGATTCTGGCACTACCTCTGACTGATAGTGTCTACTGAAACAGATGCATGGAAGTTTCACGTGACACATCACTCAGGTTTGCAGAGCCACTGACTATACTGCAAGCTTTAGTTTCTTTCAGGAAGGAAAGTGTTCCATTAAACCTTGAAATATAGATGACTACTAGGCCTCATATCCTGCCACTTTCTTTTCTCTACCTGAAGCTCCTCTTTTTTCAACTGCTAGGTTTGGAGAGCAAAATGAAACCCTGGACTCTTTACATCTGCTTGTTCTCCTGGGGGTTTCAGTACAAAAGTTGTCAGAAAGTTTCGACAGTGCTGTTTTCTGTGTATAACATTCACTGATGAGTAGGTAAGTGAAAGACTGGCTAGAATCTAGTTGTTGGCTTCTAGTAAGCATCCTAATGTACCAACAGATGACCGACTGAAGTTAGTATTCCCATCTTAGTGTATAACATTGTCACTCCAAGTGATTGGAAAATCCTTGGAATATGCTCTGACAGCGATTCATTGTAACTCTGTTATTATTCTTTTATACTAAGGCTTCATATACATTCTGTCTGTATCTTAAGGTCAAACTGAAATATTGAAATATTGAAGTCTCTACTCTTCAGGGAGGAAGTTGAAAGTATGTGCAAGTCAGACTAGTAGCAAGGTTAAATCTAGTTTTACAGTACTTCATAAAGCACTTATGTTAAGAACTGAAAGTGCTTACAGCCTCATTTCAAAGAAGATATGGCTTTTTCTTCCACGCTTTGGGAGACTGAAGTTCTCTCACAGCCCAAAGTCCTTTTAATTGAAAGCTATCGTCTAAAAGGATAGCTAATGTATCTGTACTTCTCAAATAGGCTTATAGTAACAGCATCATCAAAATCATAGAACAATCTGGATTGGAAGGGCCCTTAAAAATCCTTTAGTTCCAACCACCACGCCAACGGCAGGGACAATGATGCCTGCTGGTACTAGTACTTTATCCAACAAAAAACATTGGTCTCCTTGTGTTCTTAGTAAAGTGACTAATGAGTTTATTAGTACACCAGGTGTTTCAAAAATTGAAAAAATAAGTAATTTTGAATCATCTGTATTCACACAATGAAAATAATGTGTCTGATAAAAGAAAAGCAATCTTGTGAGGGGGAAGAGAAAACAAAGAATTTTAAGACTCCCAAGTTGTCTGTCCTTCCTACCTGTACACAGAAGTCCATCTCTATAGTAAAGTGCATATACTCTGGCACTGTGTCCAATTAAAGAGGATGTCTCAAAGGCTTCATGGTCCTTCAGTTGCTTCATCCTTAAAATAGCTTTTAGGTAAACCTTCTTCCAATGTAGAGGATCCTGAACAGAGTCATCTATCTGCCAACCCAAATTCTTACACGCAGTCTGCCACACCTCTGTACAGGCACTTATAACCTTGTTCCACTGCTTAGAGACGAGGCAACATGTGAGTAAGGTCTGTGGATCAAGCCATTTTAACAGATAAAAACTAAGTTCCAATGGAAGAAGTTTGAGGAAGTCCCTCTTGAGTAGAATCTCTAGATTATTGGAGAGGTGCCTGAGCTGGACTGCTCCACTCAAGCTAATCAGGTGATCCAGAGTTTCATTTTTCTGCAAGTCCGTCAGAGAAAGAAATGCAATAGAAATGTTATCAAGCCATGCTTCAAAGTCCTTTTTCTCCATAAGGTTATGGAAAAATTTACCTGTGATACATCAAAATACTGTATTAGTTCCGTTCAGAAAATAAGGTATGAATCACATCTTTATTACTGGTACATAAGTATTCCAAATGGCATGTTAACACATAGATTGAAGTGACCAAATGCATTTTAAAATATTCTTTAGGTTAGGACTAAGCATTTGCATGCACCCTGAACTATCATTTGCCCCACAGCAGACTTACAAGTAAATTGTATGTAGCTAGCAACTGTTAACATTCATTATGAATGTTAACATATTTCTTGTTTTAGATTAACACTTTCAAATTCTGAGTCAAATCAGAAAGGGGTTAGTTTAAGTTTTACACCTATTACAGCAAATAAACAGTCTTAGACTTTACTCATGGATTATTCTGATAAAAGGAAAAAAACAAAACACATAAGCAGCATGATAAGCTAGTTACTAACATAATTTACTCATACCTTCATCCTCAACTATTTTAAATACAAAGCAGGTAACTAGTTAGTATTTTAAAAAGTATACAGAGATGTCTGATAAACTGGTTGAAGAAGACGTTAGTCTTTCTATTCTTTCTATTTGGCCCATGTAAAGACCTGAGCTTGTGCTGGTCTAGCATAAGTTTTGATATGCCTGCACCACTTTGACCCAGATGCATTTAAAAAATCCTGTTGTCGTTTTTGTTTTTTTTTTTTTTTTTTTTTTCAATTTTCTCAGTTTATTTCCACTGAGACTTAACTGTGAAATTGAATACCACCCCCTGAACACACTTATACTATCGTGTGACATCTCAAGTTCCTTCAGTGACCTGGGACCATTGATTAAGAAGATAAGTATCAGGTAAACAGTTCAAAAATGACATACATTTATTTTCTCTGGAGGGTCTAATTCATTAGACAAGTGTCTGAATTTCACAGCACTCCCAAACTGAAAGGACTGACGTATCTGAGTGGGACTCAATAGCATGTTTATTTCTTTACAGACATTTTGCCATTGAGAACGAGATCTTAGAGTACACCTCTTAACTGGCACAGGAGTACAGAAAAGTACAGTGATCACGATAAAAGGCTGCACATGGCATGCAATTGTTGGTAAAACACACAAGAAGGTTCTGGATGTCAAATGCACAGAAGCAGCTGATCCTATTAAATCACAAGTTCATTACAGTAACTTTTACTGCAGACACCACTTACCAGCTTTCCTCAGTACATATAGCAGTGAATACAGTTGCTGTTGAAACAAGCATGTGTTCTCTTTAAACCATGTGTAAAATTTTTCTAATAGGCCGGCTACGAATAAAAACTCCGTGAGCCCCAAGGCGTTTGTTGTAGTCAATACTGAAGCTATTAGTGAAATTAAGAGCTGTTGTGAGGCCTGTGCTCGAGCCTCTTTTCCAGGTGTTATGCAGCCAGCCACATCGGCTCCCCCCGCCCGCTCCCAATACACCTCCACACGCAAAAAGCACAGCGGGGACCGCAGAGTAGCGCCGCTGCCGCCGACAGCTCCGCACCCCTCACCTCAGGTAGCAGCCCGGGGCGGGGTGTCCGTCGGCGGGCAGTCGCCACGGCTGGCGCGGACTCCCGGAGCCCAGCACGGCCGGGTGCTTCCCTGCGGCCATCGCTCCACGGCAGGACCGGCTCTCAGCACTTCCGCAGCCCGCACCACAATCTGCAGGCTCCCACGACAGGGGGGTCAGGCTCAGGAGGAGACCAGGGCCTCACGACCGCCCGGCGCTGAAGGGAGAGTAGGGCTGGGCCAAGCCCGCGCTGGGCGAACCGCGGCACGGGGAGAAGGCGCTCCACGACCCGTCTCCCTCACGATCCAGCGGCTTCCGGCGCATCCCAACGTCATCGTCCCCCGCCGCCGCGCCCGGCCTCCTCCGCCCGGCGGCTCCCGCGGCCCGTGCCCCTACGCTCCCGCTGTCCGGGACGGGCGAGACGTGGCTGCTGGGGAATCTCGCTGCCTGCTGGGTTCCGCCGCTTCCGACTCCTACCCGAGGTTTTGGCAAGTTCTGTTTGTTAAGAATAGTCCTGTAATTATTATGATGAAAATGTACTAGTGTTTATCATACTGACTTAAAATCGCGTATTCTCTCTCCTTTTAGCAGAGGTACGGTGTTGGTGGAACCATGCACAAATATAACTGAAAACTGCATCCCCCCCTTACTTGATTAATTTGGACATAATTTACTTTTTCCTACTTAACTTGTATTTATCCTCTTCACTTTGTAATTGCAGGTTTTGCCGTTGCCTGGGTCCAGCCCCATGGTTGCCGATATTTGAAATCCTCCTACCTAAAGCGAGAGGCATACCGAGTGCTGCAGGTGTGTTAAGGAACTGGGTTATGGTATCCTCAGGAACCCAAATAATTTCGGGATTTTATAGCAAGTATTGTTAATTACTCTTATTTCTTCAGTTCCTGTGTTTTTTTAACCTGTTGTACTGACTGTAATGGCCCTGTGAGAATATTAATTGTATTGGACCAGTATCTTTTTTTAATAAGATGTAAAATCTAATTTTATAAATAAATAAAATTTCCTTGCTTAACTCTACCTTTTCCTTATGGTGTATGTTACAGTGAAGAAGCTCACAACGCAGTCTGGGTAATGTTAGTTACAGACTGCAGTACTTGATGTGGCTGTTATTTCTGTTAATTCTGACCACAGAATTAAGTCTTAATCCCAAATGGAGATGAATTCTCCACTTTCATGGATTTAAGGTTTTTTTCCTATTGTTGTCAAGGTGGCTAGGAATGCATTTAAATCACAAAAGGGGTTGTAGCTCTTAAGAGAATGTCTTGGATACTTCAGGAAAGATGATTAGTTTTTCAAAAGGAATTGCAAGGTCTTGGACACAGTAAGAATACACACTTACCCAGAAAGGAGAAAAACTATTTTGTAGTGTTAGTTTACAGAGTAAAGACCCCCAACTGAAGCAGGTCTCCAAAAGTCTAAAGATGCCTGGAAACATAAACCAAAGCTAGATTATGGCTTGTGTCAAAGACGGGTAAAACTTAGGACACAACAATCTCATAGGTATGATACAGTACTTCAGAAAACTCAAATGGAAAAAGCAGTGATCTGTGCTATATCCTGTCTTTTTGATTTCTTGTCTTGACTTTGCAAATTTGGAAGTCATTAGTCCTGTCTGTGTGAAACAGGTGAAAGAAACAGGTGGGGTCAAATTTATAGTTTATTACAGATGAAGAAATAAATCATGTTTCTTCTTCACTAAGGTGATAAACAGCACTTAAAACAGTTTCAGATGAGATAGGACTGTCTCTATTTGGATGTTGTATCTAAAATACAAACAATACATGCTATCATATGACATTAAGAACAATGGTAATACATCAGCATTTAAGACCAACGGTAAAGAGTCTTTGATCTCAAATGTAGCAACAGTCTTAAGAATATGCCATTATTAAATTACAAGCAGTCTGCTACCATTCAAAGACAAACTGACTTTCTAGATTGGTAACGCTCTGCATAAACCTTTATATAACATTTTCCATATGACCACATAAATATGCAGAAAATTGTTTCCATTTTCTCTTCAAGTCAGATGCTAGTACCACAATTTCCAGTAGCAAAGAGGAATCAGTCAGTTACAGGTCAGCAACAAAGTGAAGCAGCTAAGCAGTATACAGGCTGCTGAAGTTGCTGTGCTGAAGTAATAAGAGTAAAAATACTTTCTAACCTGCATGTAAGTACAGATGTTTGCTGCATAATCTCTTGAGCCTTCCCATATTTTTAATATTAGGTTCCCAAGGTATAATATAGTCCTTCACAAAAACAAATTAAGCGTATCTGAGAAAACAGTGCTATAACAGAATAAGCAAGCACTGTGCATATGGACCATGACATCAAATTGTTAAGAATGAGAACAGCGTGATACCCATTTTCATACACAGAAGACAACAGAAATTATTCTGAAAAATCTTATCACTTGCTGATGGGATTTTCTCTTTCCCTGCCTTTTATGATCCCATTACTTTAAATTCCTATATATATATAAGTCAGGATTTTTAATCCCTGAAAATTTACAGTAGACGTTACAAATATATATACCTATATATGTATATATATATTGAAAACCAAATCCAAATGAAAAGGGTTATATATTTCAAATGCAGACTAAGCCAACAGCTCTGGAAAAGCCACTGCATCTGCAAGGCCGAGCTATAGACCCACACCTTTAGAAAAACATGTTCGAGCTAGCCATTACTGGTCAAATATACTTAGAACAGCAGAAAATATATCTCAGGAGTAGCAACCTTAACCATACATAACTAGTTAGGCAGTAACGTTACCCATTCCCTGCCCTATTAACTACTGTTTAAATATTTATTCAGTTGACTGTCAAGTACTAAAAAAATTCAATTTGAATCTATCAATTACAAATATGTCCACATTTCTAGAAATAATCACATGAAGGCAGAGAACAAACCTGCTGTTCAGTCCAGGTGCATACTTGCATGTATGTTATGCATTGAAAAACAACAGCAGACCAACAAAAAACCCCCCAAAAACAAACAAACAACAAACCAAAACAAACAAAAAAATAAACCAACAAAAAACCACAACCAAAAACAACCTAACCAACCAAACCTCCCCCCCTCCAAAATCTGAAAAAAAAATCCCAACCAACAAACCAACAAAGAACCTGCCCACACCACCAGCCTCCAGAAACTACAAAAACCAAAACAAACAAGAATCTCCCCCACACCACCAAACTAGTAAAGGACTATAAGTAGAACAGGCCTTGCTTCTTTGCAAACCAGGAAACTGAATATATGTGTGCATTCACTGAACCTAGAGAGCAGTTCTCTTGCTACCATGAATAGCCACAGCCCCTTCAAATTTCATGTGGGTCTTTGTTTCTTATTAGAAGGAAGTGTTTTGTTACTTTCAAACACATACAAAATATTTATGTGTACTGCATTGCCACCAGAATAAGAAACTGGACAAAAATGACTATTTGTACTGGTTTCTAAAGCCCAAACTGGGCTTTAGGGACCTTGCAAGCAGCTCATCAAAGCCTAAAGGGCTCCATATTCTGTGTGTGTGAATTAACTTAGCTCTTGTGTCTGGGGGTTCTTAAGTCCTAGTCACACTTCAAAGTTGTGGTTATGGTTTATATGCATGCAGTAATTCAAATGCAGGACAAAATGTTGTATATCCAATTTGAACAGATTTCTGAATTATGGTGCACAGGTGTGTGTACTACACTAGATGATAACACAGTGGTCCTTTCTACCCTCAACTATTTTGTGATTCCATGCATCATTAACCATGCTGGTGAGAACACACAAGTACATTCTAAATTAACTACCTGTACAATCTCATGCTTGCACCAGTGTATATGACATTCCTATAATTTAGTCAGACTAAGGCACAGGGATAAAGCAGTGACCAACACCATTTAGCCAGAAGGAGTTAAGAGCCCTGCTGCTGCCTACAAATCCAGCACATTGGGATTGAAAGTATTTCTTGCCGAAACTTAGCCAAGAGTCCAGAATGGGCCTTCAGTTAAACTTAGCCTGATAGCAAGTGTTCAATCTGATAACAATTCTTCCTTCATGGAAACAATTCCTTCCTTCCATCCATCTGTAGAAACATTTTTCAGTTTTCCTATCAGAACACCACCCATCTTCCATAGTTGTAGATTCAAAGGTTATCTTTTCTCCTAACCATGAGATTGTCAGCCAGCATCAAGAATGCAGCCTACAGGCAGCTTTAACACACAATGTGAAAGGAGAAAGGGTTGTGCTTACAGCGGACATGGCTGCAATTTCTGCCTAAGACTACTTTTTTAGAGAGCATATGCATGCACATGCTAGAAAAACAGACAGCAAACAACATGGCTCCAACACTGGAGTGAATAACACTATAGCCGTCCCAGCAGCCTTCCAAAAGCCTTATCCTCTTATGCCAGTCTTAAGGAGAGGTTCCAGAGGTTTGTTAGAACTTTGCCCTTTATAAATGATGCGCAAGACCTTCTGTATCAATACCACCAACTGCCTCTATATTTTAATTAGCAGTCTGAATAGTAAGGACTATGTTTTAAGAGAAACAATGGCTAGAAGTTAGTTCTCTTCACATGAAGAGACACAGAAATCATGGTTGTCTGTTCAGACTACTAAAAACTCAAAGCCACATCCTTGTACAAGGTTGTGTATACCAGCAATTTCACATGATTGTGTTGGTATTTGTTTCTTTTGATACAATAAATGTGATAAAGATCTTCACAGAATTTGGTTGCTGTGGCTTGTGTCAAATAAAATTGAAATATTATTTCCATGTTCTTTGCCTTCTACCTACATTCTGGGCTGCTCTCATACACTAAGTAGGTAGTAAACTACATATACATGACTCTAAAGCCTCAGCTACCAACTCTAAGTGTCATATAACCCAAACAAAATGTTGTATTGCTCTCTACTTCTTTTGCCACATTAGGTATTATCCCTCTATGACACTCTAAATACAGAAGCAAAAACTTAACAAGACACGTACTGAATACATTAAGAATGAAGACATTAACTTTTTTTCCTGGATTCAGCTCCTTCCTGTCCTATATGAGCAATGGTCTGTTAAGATCTAGTAGTTCCTAGTGTGACTTGCTTAGCAGCTTGTACCAGACCCATTAAGTCAAGCTATAGCATAAAAGCAGGTGGGAGGTGGGCAGGGATGCAGTTGCTGGGCTTCCGTCTTCAAATAATACCAATATCCTGTTCCAGGTATGTACCACGAAGCCAATATGATCTGGTTTTGTGCTTCAGTAATCCACTATCTGTACTCTTTATAGTTCATTTGCTAGATGTCATCAATGCTGTAATTACAGGCAAACCTTCAAAGCGTTTTTCTCTCTCTCTCACACACACCCACCCCCAACACTCTCTTAATTAATGATAATACTTCACAGCCACTGCTGCACTCCTGGTTCAAGAAAATAACTCTTGCTTTATAGTACTTTCTTCTATAATCACGTTTAGGATATAATGCAAATGCTGTATCTAAATGCATTCTGACTGCCATCATAGCCAGTCGTCAAGTTTTCTGTCAAGCTCTTCTCATTCTTGTTCTCCCTAGTGCTCCATCTCTAAGGCTAGTCTTTCAGGACACCCAAGTATGCGTTTGCTCAGGTTCTTCAAAACAAATTTTAAAATCTCCATATATTGCTTCAACTGCTATCAAACAATGGTTAATCATTTTAAATTATGCTGTGACAGCACAGGTGAACATCTGCAGTATCTTTAAAATCTAGTATCCTCACAAAGTAAAGCAAAGTTTCCAGTTAAAATTTTAACTAAAGCCCCAGTTTTAGAACACACTGGTACAGTCTTCAAAAATAGCCACAAACCAGAAATCAAATACTACATTGAGAGAGCTGTTCATGGAAAAGGCTGGTTATTTTCCTTTTTAAAAATAAGTGACAGCAATGACCCCACAAGTGGATTCAGAAGTGTTTACAACTTGCAGGAAAATAAGTACCACGTGGTATTTTCAGATTGATTTTCTTTAAACCTTAACTGTCCAAATAAGTAAGGATA